CCTGCAGTGATTCCCAGCTTTCTGGGAGTAAAATATCAGTACCCAAAATAGCTGTTCCTGGTGCCCTGGGAACCATCACATCTGGGCAGGGCTGGGCAGAGGTCATAGCCTCTGTCAAGTCCCAGGGGGTAGACTGGAGTCCTGAAGGGTTCTGGAGTCCCCAGAGATGAGACAGCTCAAGATGGGCCCTGGGAAAATAGATGCAGATTTAAAACTTCACACCACCCCTTCTACTCTACCTCCTTCCTTTGAACTCAGGTCCCCGCACCCCAAAGAGGGTGTGTAGGTGGCCCATGCATCTCCTTTCTCACCTCTTGGCTGACGAGAAGGAGGATGCTAATTAAACCGGGCAGGTGGCCCACAATAGGACACCTGGGGTCCAGGTTTCTATAGAAACCAAGTCATTTCTCCACCTTTCAACACATTTCCCTCATCTCCTGACAAACTATCCTTGGAGACATGGATGGCTCTGACATCTGTGCTTCTGCTGTTCTCTCCAGTCCCTCAGCAAACATTGCCTGATGTGTGCCCAGTAGGAATAGCCATCAAGTGCTGTGTGTTAAGCCTTTGCAGGCATTATCCCGGCTAACCCTCACATCACATACAACCCTATGGGGCAAAAACGGTCATCCTATTTTCAGATGAAACAGCCCAGCAGAGCGGTCAGCCACACCAGCTCTGTATAAGTTTGTTAGGGCTGCCGTAACAAAGGACCACAACCTGGGTGGCTTAAATAACAGAGCTTCATAGCCTCATAGTTCTGGAGGCTGGAAGTCTGAAGCCCAGGTGTTGGCAGAGTTGCTTCCTTCTGAGGCTGGGAAGGAAGGAGCTCTCCTTGGCCTGGGTCTCCAGGCCTCGCTCCTTGCTTGTAGATGCCGTCTTCCCTCTGTGTGTCTGTCTCTGTGTCCTAATTTCCCCTTAATATAAGGACACCAGTCGTATTGAATTAGGGCCCACCCTGATGACCTCATTAATCTTAATTACCCTTAAGGACCCGACCTCCCAATACAGTCACACGCTGAGGTACTGGGGGTTAAGGCTTCATGAAACATGTGAGTTTGGGGGGAGATACAGTTTATCCCATACCAGGCTCTAGAGTCAGCTGGGCCTGGGCTGGCATTCTAGCTCTAATGCTCGCTTGCCACTCAATCCCAGGAAACCTCGGCTTCCTCAT